AACGGGGTGGAGCGGAGGGCCGCGTGGATGCGGGTGCCAGCCGCCTTGGCACGCGCCAGTGACACAGGAACAGGGAACCTGTTGAACCGCAATCACGGCATGCCGCAAGTGCAATCACGGTTGAGACGACGGCAGACGAACATGAGCAAAGGCTTGCAGAGGCAACAGCCAAGACAACAACACTGCCCACAACACTAGCAAGGATATCAGCAACAGCGACAGCAATCACACGTGTGTACAGGCACGCAAGTGTTGATTGGGTGGGATTGCACTCACTTCTTTGCGTCGTAGAACTTCTTGCTCAGCAGCCGCGGCATCAGGGGAAGAATACTGCACCAGACAGCAACATCCCGGTGCAACAAGACGTGAACGAACGAAAGAGTGGTTGCATGAATTGATGGGTGGACTGACAGATCAGTGGATGGATGGGTGGGTGGACAGAGACATGGGATCGCACATAACCATAACACACACATACGCGCACACCACACGCACATGCACACATGCGCAACTCACACGCGCACGCTAAACATACGCAACTCATACGCGCACGCCACACATACGCAACACACACTCACACACAACATGCAAAGCACACGGGCGTACCGATCGTCACAGAGGAACTTGTCAAAGCTTGCGCAGAGATGGCGCTTGGACTCGTAGCTCTGATACTCTTCCCTGAGCTTTGAGACGGAGATGACGGTGATCTTGCGCTTGGGCATCGCCTTCTGGACCAGCTGCTCCATCTCATCCTGTGGATCCTTTGTGAACATGCACACCTCGCTTGTCTCGGAATCCACCAGGCTGTGCTTGAGGGAACTGTGGTGGAGACGGTACGCGGGGCGATGGCAGCGCGATGGCAACAGATCAGACGTCAGAGAGAGGCAGACGATGTGTGTTTGTGTGCATGTGTAAGCGCACTCGTGCTGAAACTTCCCGCGCGCCAGCTCTCACTTGCAAGCATCAATTCGATCACACACACACACACACACACGCACACACTCACTCACTCACACGCACTCACTCACACAGACGCACGCACGCACACAACGTACATGTGCTTGGGGTGCTTGCTGGTTTTGGGCAGCTTCTTGAGCCCGATTGTGAGGAAGAGGATGTGTTCTTCTGGCAAGAGGTTGCTCTGGTGGCTCTTTGAGATGACCTGGAGCAAGGCGCGGGCAGCCAGGTCTGCCTGCTTCTGCGTCACAAGAAGCTCGTTTGACATGGTCGCGTGTGTTGGGGTGCTGGCTGGCTGGCTGGGTGTGTGTGTGTGTGTTCTGACTGAGGGCACGTGGATGTCTGCTGCGGTTTGTGGTGTTTGGTGTAGTTAATGTGAAATTCCACGCAAAATATCCACTAATCATCAACAACCAATACACAGCCGCCACAGCAGTCGTTCGAGCCAAACGACAACGACCACAACAACCATGGTGCGCTGGCTTGCCTTGATCTGTCGTGTAACCGTTGTTAGAGTGTGTTGGATCTGTGGTCTCGTTACTCATGCATACATCCACATGGTTGTGCTCGCGTACATACCCACGGCACCTCACGCGCTGCTTTGTTGTCTTGACTGTCTGTCGTCCGTTCCTGCTTTGTTGTCTTGACTGTCGTTTCGTTCATGCATCAGAGTTCCCAAGCCAGCAAGCGATCCAAAGATGAGTGAGTACAACGCGTTTGCGAAACATTTTTGCTGCTGCAGTTCATTTCAGCTGTGCTCTGCCAGAGATGTGGGCTGTGCTCTTGATCTGCTTCGTGTGTGTGTGTGTGTGTGTGTGTGTGTGTGTGTGTGTGTGTGTGTGTGTGTGTGTGTGTGTGTGCGCGCGCCATGCAGGTCTGACACGGTTCTCGTTTCGTGGCTGTTTGCTTCACAGGTCTGGGGAGCCTGTCCTCAAGTTCCGCAACTACAGGCCAACCGGCGACGCCTTGGCGGCGTCACCGTTCCTGAAGGCCAAAACCCAAGCATCCGATACACAGGAGGACGAAGACGATGCTGCGTTGCCGTTTGACTTTCCAGACACCAGTGCCGACAAGGGCGAGGCGGAGCAAGACGGCGGTGCCATGGAGGAGGCGGAGGACGAGGACGAGCACGCGCAGCCCAACAAGCACGCGCAGCACGCAGACAAAACAGAGGAAGAAGATGAGCTTGTGCGGCCACCAGATGCCCTCGAACGCGATGTTCAGGAGCGTTTGAAACAGATGGACGAGGAGGACCCCATGAAGGACATCCAAAGCTCAACAGTCGAGGTGCGTGTCTACGTATGTGTGTGTGTGTGTGCGTGTGCATGTGTGTCTCTATGTATGTGTGTGTGTGCATGTGTGTGTGTCTATCTATGTATGTGTGTGTGCGCGTGTGTGTGTGTCTGTCTATGCATGTGCGTGTGTGTGTGCGCTCTCGTTGGAAGTGTTTGGTGCCCTTTCCAGTGTAGCCAAACGCGCTCTGGTCTCACCCTCGTGTTCACGGTTTGTTTCTCGCCGGCCATTGTCCCCCCAAAAAGGACGT